GGCGGCGGCCACGTCTGCATGCGGGTGCCGGGTGGTAAGGGGGCCCAGGGCTGCCGAGCCGGGGCTGGCACCAGGGCTGGCACGGGGACACGCGGGGTGCATCACTGCAGGGCCAGCTCCTGCTGCTACCCCGTCGCTCTGCTCCAGGCAGAGATACGCATTCAGGGCAAGGGGACCCAAAGGGGCACGGAGCGGGATGAAGCTCTCGCTAGAACCAGCCATGCTTGGCTGCAACCGTGGCCACCGGTCCCTCGCCCCCGCAGCCTCAGGGCTTCCTAAAAGCATGTCCTCCTTTTCAGACGCTGTGTGATGGGAGAGCAGCTCTTCCGTGGCAGGAAAACACCTTCGTTAGGGGACACGGGGTGGTCACAGGCTCCAGTTGGCCTGTCCCCTCCCCACCACCTCCAGCAATAAAATGTGCGCGTGGCCCCCTCCAGCAGTCCCTGAGTCCTGGTAGCGCTGGGCTGGCCCCACCAGGCCCTGGGACAGCCCCTCATGCTCCTGGAGCAGCACCGGCATCACCTGCAGCTCACCGGGGAAGGGATGGTCCCACCAGGGCTGGGGCCGGGGGCTCAGGCCATGCTGGGGTCAGTGCCATGGGGCCAGCAAAGCCGTGCAAACACAGACCCGTGGGGCAAGGGGCAGGCTGTGGGGTGGGCATCACCCTGGCCATCCATCGAGGTCAGGGTTATTCCTCCTCCGTTAGGTCGCTTTAGCTCCCAGCCAGGTCACGTCGGCAGCTTGAGGGCAGAGCCGGGGCTGGGACCCCCATCCAGAGGCAGAGGGAGCTGCGGGGTGGTGGCTGGGGCAAGCCCTGGGGCTGCCCTGTGGTGCTGCCGAAGGCACCCATCGCCCGCTCCCTGCAAGGGGGATCAGCCCCGAGGGACGGGCACTGCCTGCTCCTGCCTGTGCAGGCAGGAAGGAGAAGACCCAGACGTGCTCATCCAAGGACCTGTCCTTGTATTGAAGTGTCACAGCCCCAGGGGAGTTCCAGGCTCCTCCGACCAGGCGCAGGAGGGCACAGCCACACTGCTGTGGATGCGCGTCCCTGCCCTCGGGCTGGCAAG